TGTTCTAAGGGAACTCCTGATTTCCACCCTCAACAGTGAGTACCTTGTCTTCTACCGGTGATTGTCATTTTGGTAAACAACTTTAGCATTCATTAGCCATTTGTCTGAAATAAAATCTCAGAAGTCATCTTTGATTTCTCTCATCCAATCCATTACCAAGTCTTGTCGTTCCTATCTCAAAATATATCTCAATTTGTTTCCCTCATTCCATCTCTGGGACAACCAGACTAGTCTGGGCCACTGTCACCTCGCAGTTGGTCAATTACCATAGTCTTCCTATTTCACTCTCTCTACCTGACAGTCCATTCTTTGCACTGCTGCTTAAATGTAGACCAAATGATACTCTAGATTAATACCCATCTATCAATGGCTTCCCATGACCCTTAGACTAAAATTCCAGCTCCCTCGCATGGGTTACCCAATCCCTCAGAATTTGGCTTCTGCCTGCTTCTCTAATCTCTCAGTTTTCTCCACCTTGCTTACTTTGTGGCCTCCTTTCTGTTCTTCAAAAAATGTATATCAGTGTATTAGTTCCCTGAGGCTGCCATAACAAGTCACCACAAACTGGGTGGCTTACCACAACAGCAGTTTATTCTCTCACAGTTTTGGAGGCCAGGAACTCAAAATTAAGTTGTTGGCAGGGCCATTCTTTGTCCAAAGACTCTAGGAAAGAATCCTTCCTTGCCCTTTCCCAGCTTCTGATGGCTCTAGGTATTCCTTGGCTTATGGCAGCTTAACTCCAATCTCTGTCTCAGCCTTATCATGGCCTTCTCCTCTGTGGCTTTGTCTTCTCCTCTTCCATCTATAATTGGGACACTTTTCACTGGATTTAGGGCCTACCTTGTTAATCTAGGACAATCTCATCTCAAAATCTTTAACTTACTTACATCTGCAAAGACTCTTTTTTCCAAATAAGATCATATTCATAGGTTCTGGGGTATGGACATTCAACCCACTATACCAAGAGTTTTTCATCTTTAGGCCTTTGTAATTCTTGTTTGCTTTGCTTAGAGCATTCTCCTCTCAGAATTTTGACCCATCCTTCTGGTCTCATCTCAGAAATTATACACTGGCCTTATACAGTCCTTTCCTGGACATCCTACCAAAAGGGTCTCCTCTCATTACTTTTTTCCTCATCTCCCCGTTTATTCTCATCACAGCATTCATCTAAACCTGAGAGGTTTGTCCTTTTTACTTCCTTGTCACTGTCTATCTCCTGCATTCAAATGTATTCTACATGAAGGTATAGGAACCTCTCTTACTCACTGCTGAATCTTTGGCACCTAGCACAGTGTCCAGCATCTAACAGCTGCTCAGTGAATATTTATTGAATATATAAATACAGGCCTCACAACAACTTTGTGAAGTGGGATAAAATTAGCCATCTGAAGAACAGACTTGGGTAACTCAAAATCAATTCAAAATCTAATTAAGAGGACCAGGACACAATCTTAAAAACACATGACTGAGTTATTATTGATACAATAAAAGCTTATCTAGTCAGTTATACTGCGATCTCTCTAAAGGGAAAAAGTCCCCCTCCCCCCATTCAATAGAAAGAAGATAATCTGCTTAAAATCCAGAAAATCAGAAGCCCTAAAACAGGAAAACAGTGTATTTCCAGAATAATATAGATTGTTCTCTTAAGGATCACAATGAGTCAGGACTGGGTACCCAACTTGTGGGGCTCAGAGCAAAATGAAAATGCGGGGCCTCTTGTTAAAAGAGCAGGAAAACGGGCACCTGGGTGGCTCAGTCGTTAAGCGTCTGCCTTCGGCTCAGGTCATGATCCCAGGGTCCTGGGATTCGAGTCCCGCATCGGGCTCCCTGCTCGGCAGGAGGCCTGCTTCTCCCTCTCCCACTCCCCCTGCTTGTGTTCCTGCTCTCGCTATCTCTCTCTCTGTCAAATAAATAAAATAAAATCTTAAAAAAAAAAAAAAAGCGGGAAAATGTATCACTAAAGGTACTAAAAAATAAAGCTTTTCCTTTCTTCTGCAGTCTCTCTCGATTGTCATGATTTATTTTATTTTACTATTTATTGTGTATTTCATTCTTTTTTTAAAATTTTATTTTGAGAGAGACAGATCAGGGAGGAGGGGCAGAAGAAGAGAGAGAATCCCAAGCAGACTCCATGCTGAGTGCAGAGCCAGACGTGGGGCTCGATCTCACGACCCTGAGATCATGACCCAAGACAAAATCGAGTCAGACGCTTAACCGACTGAGCCACCCAGGTGCCCCATGTATTTCATTCTTACCAGGAAAGTGGAAACACAGCACAAAACTGATTCAACTGTTTTTATTTCACTTTTTAATACATGCAATTTTACCAATATTTTTCATCTTTGGCTTACCAATAAGTAGGAAAGCACTGAAAAGAAAAAACATTATAGGTTGCTCTAATTTTCTTTTTCCTTCTCTGTCCTCATTTTGAGCGTAAGTGGTTGGCTAATACAGGGAAGTAACATGAGTAAGAAAGAAGAGAGTTACTTGGTCATTTGTGTTTCTTAAAATACCACTGCCTTCTTTCTGCATTCTAAGAAAGTTCTGGTTATGGAAAGCATGGCCTCTTGGGCTGTCAACACCCTGCTTGCTCAGTACAAGTAACGAGCACTGAGTCTCTCTGAACTGCCACACACCTGGGGTCCACTGGATGCTGTGCTCATGGAGCATCTTGAATGTAGCATGAGAATGAAGTGACAGAACACAGCAGGGATACACATTGCATGTATCTCCTCTGTTCACAGACATGTTCCATTGTCCCATCAGATTCCACTTACAAAACACAAGTTCAAAGACAACATTATTAAGAATTCACTACCACAACAGCAGAGCATTAAACCAAGAAAGTGTCCCTTCTGAATGTGAGCCCTGTGCGACTGTACAGGTCACATGCCCTTGAAGTCAGTCCTGCAGTGAGTATTCTTGAATTCTGGGCATGGAAATAAATTCATCTGGCAATCATCTCAGTGACCTAAATCATCGAGAGGATACAACCAATCTCCCCTTCTCTACACCTACGTGCAATCTTACAATGATAACTTGTCATCCCATATAGACTTTTCTTCGAGTAGCAAAGAGTAATTCATTCATTCAAAAGTTAAATTTCTCACTGTAATTTAATATTCTCATTTTGGTGTTTCCATAAGATTATGGTGAAGTTAGTTAACAAAGAAAATAGCCAGAACCTAATCATCTCTAAAAACATCGCCAAAATCAAGTTTTCTGGACCAATAAAGATGAAGACTACAAAATGACCAAAGTTGAAGAATATGTCAAAAATTCAACAGTGCTGTGTATTTACATCCCAGCAACCACCCAAGATCTGTACCTCCATTATTTCACCTTGTACCCAAGAGAATCTTTCTCTTAAAATATATTACGTGGAATGTAAGTGTGCTATGAAGCACATTTTAAACCAAATGTTTAACTGATTTGTAAGCTACTGGATATATGGAATACAGAAAAAAATTATTCAACTATGATTTAGACTGCCAGAATTGTAGTTCCCAGATCTGCTTCATACTGGCTGAGTAACAATGGCAAGTTTTATAATTCCTCCAATGCTTTGAATTCCTCATCTGCAAAATGAGGATTTTAGCATAAATAATTCGGAATACCCCTTCCTGATTTAAAATTCTGATCCTCTAGTACCTGAAAAACAAACAAACAGAAAAGCATGTGTTCTTATCAGCGGAGCACCTAGGCTTGTGGATGCCTCCTGCACATCTTGTGGGTCCCAAATATGAGGCCACATCAATCAAATGAGGTGAAGAGTATTTCTGGAGGAAGGCGGGTAGAAGGGGGCTATTCATATGAGATCTGATTGGTAAATATGTATTGAAATCTGTGCCATGTTCTAAAAACTTTTTGGAAAACAAAGTATTTTTCTTGTTAAAAAAATAAAAACTAAAATCTTTAAGGTAGAAAATATACCCCAGTGGCTTTTCTGAAGGATGTTTGTGGAATTTTTTTAAAATTTTAGATGGGATTTTGAATGTATACTTTTCCCAAAAGTCTGTAGGACACTGTACGTTGGCTTCAATGATAGCTTGTCTGATGTTTCAGGCAAGAATGAGAAAAAGCTATATTGTTCCACCTCTCCAAATTTTGCCCAAGAGTTTTCTTTTTTAACGTTCAATTTCCCATGTTATGTCATCCCAAATCTGCATCATAAAAGGTAGCTTTCTTTTATATAGTTATTGCTAATCTATAGTAGATAGATTTGATATTGCCTCCCTTTGACACACAAAAACACATGCATAAGAGTCATAAAATTTGGGGCGCCTGGGTGGCTCAGTTGGTTAAGCGACTGCCTTCAGCTCAGGTCATGATTCTGGAGTTCCGGGATCGAGTCCCGCATCAGGCTCCCTGCTCGGCAGGGAGTCTGCTTCTCCCTCTGACCCTCCTCCCTCTCATGCTCTCTGTATCTCATTCTCTCTGTCTCAAATAAATAAATAAAATCTTTAAAAAAAAAAAAAGAGTCATAAAATTTGCCACTAGGATAGACTTGACTAGCTCTTCCTCTTACAATCAGTTGTGAATCATTAATAAATGACTTAACTTCTCTGAGCCTTAGCTTACTCATTTTTAAAAGAAATAAGACTGGATTAGATGACTCAGTTATTTGAGTCTATTCTATGGAATCTAACATTCTAAGAATCTATTGTTCCTAAGTTTGTATTTTCTATCATTTGGGTTTTTTTGATTAATGATTTAATCTTATATTATACTTAAGTTCTTATCATTATAAAAATATACTTGCATGATTTGCACATGGAGTCTAAGTAAAATATTATAATCCAAGTTTATACATATTCCAGAAAGTAATAAGATAATGCTTATACAAACAGGATTTCATTTCTAAGATAACAAGTCAATAGTATTTATTGAGTGCTTGACATTAAGGTATTTATATATTTTTAATATCCAAAATACATTGTGACGTGGATACAGTTATTTTTTATTGTACAGGTGAGAAAACTGAGGCCTAGGTTACTTACCTAAGGGCACAAAGCCAATCACTGGTGGAGCCAGGATTCCAAGACCACCCCTCTGTCTCCATAGGCCATCCTTGTAATCAAGTCTGGATTATGCCTCCTGTATCTACCTATGACAGCCAACAACACCAAATGAATAAAATGACTTTCTAATCAAGGTCAAACAAAATCAATGCAAGGATACAGATTTTCAGCATGCAGGGGAAAGTTTTATACAGTTGGCCCTTGAACAACATAGGTTTGAACTGCACAGATCCACATATATGTGGATTTTTTTGATAAATATAGTAGAGTACTATAAATGAATCTTCTCTTATGATTTTCATAATAACATTTTTTTCTCTAGCTTACTTTATTGTAAGAATACAGTATGTAACACATATAGCATACAAATATGGGTTAATCGACTGTTTATATTAATCAGTAAGTCTTCTGGTTAACAGTTGGCTATTAGTAGCTAACTTTTGGGGAGTCTGAAGTTATATGCAGATTTTTGACTACATGGGGGTCAGTGACCCTCACACCCACACTGTTCAAGAGTCAATTGTAATTTTTAAAGCCTTCAATAAGCATTGTTTTTCATTTTTAAGAAAAGGAAGAAATAACCACAATTAAAGCAAGCTGAAATTAAAGCATTTGAAATTCGAATCATATGAGAAGAGTGGATTATGAAGCTTAGTTGTTTCTTTTTTTTTATTTCCTGCTTTCAAATTAATCTGGAAATATGTAACTAGGTTCAGTAGCCAATTTACTATCCATATAATCAAGAGAGGAGGAAAAGTGAGGAAATAAAGAGAAATAACTCATGAAATATTCTCTAAATAAAGTATATCATATCTTCTTTTTACCACTTGTAACTAGACAAAAGAAAGCTATATTTGAAATAAAGGGCTTTTTGGCTAATGTTCAAGATACATTAAAATAAAATGTCCCCAATTTAAAAAATCGTATGAAATTTGATTGCCTATAACAGCCTTTTTATGGGAAAAATAATAATACTCTGTAGCTTAGGAGCAATAGTGTGAAATATATCTGTAAACCATTAAGAAGCCTTTTGTTACAAAACTCCGAAATGCTGATGCAGTCCTGGAATCAGCAAATACATCATTTTATTGCAGATATTCAAGGCCCATAGCAATTCAACAGAAAATTAATTAGTATCACCTCACCATAAATCTCAACAGTATTAGCTAAAATGCCAATTTTGTAATCACTTCTCATTAAAGCCAAAAATACTAATTAAAATTGATTTTTCCCTGTGCTTTGGTAAACGGCTGCCAGTTAATGGCTTTCAGTTGTAATGCAGACTTTTACTTAAATTAATTTTGTATGTTGTCTCCTTCCTCTTTATAAAGATAACAAAGTGTGAAAGGATAGGGGATGTGGGTGCAGGAAAGGACCGTTCACATGCAGGAAGAACAGTCACACATAAAGAATTCTGAGGCTTCTGTTAATACTAGTATGGCCACTCTCCTTAATAAGCTGTTTTTGAATACATTATTTCATGAGCGAAAGTTAATAAATCCTTTAACAAATAGATGATTAGAATTTATTCTTACAAGTCATTTGAATGATTAAATAACATGTTTCTTGTTAAAGAATTTTTTGAGTAAAGTCATAACCTTATTTGTGTGACATGACCCATTTGTAAAACACAAGCCCATGAACTTGGCCCATATTCTGAGGATCATTCAGAACCAATCAAGATTAATTTAAGTCTCAACAAATATTAAATGGAAGGTGATAACTATATAAATGTCAAATTCCTTTCATTAGAGCTAACTAGAAAAACAACAAACCATAAATCTCAAAGGGTAATCCACAACAGCTTGAATTGTTCTTTCAACTTTTTAATTAATAAGAAATATTGATATGGTGCTAAAGTTGAGTTTTGGTGCTGTCAGGGTAAGACAGATGAGGCTGAGTTGGAGTTTTCTAGTAAGTAATAAGAGATAGTGAGTCACGTATAGTCAGGTTCTCTAAGGAGCCAAAAATTAGAACCAGAAGCCACATGGGCAAAATCAAATTCAGAGTTCTAGAGTTCCATGAATGCAGAATGAAAAGTTAGTTAATATTTCCGGATTTAGACCAAGCATATGAGAAAAGACACAACGGAGATCCCAAATAAGGCCAGGTTCAAGATTCTAAGGGCTAATAAGCACAGATAACAATCCATTTTAATTAGTATTTTTGGCTTTAATAAAAAAGATTACAAAATTAAGATTAAACCTTAAAATCTTAGATTAAATTCTAAGACTCCTGAGAGGTAGGAAGGGGCAGGGAGCAGAATCTACACATGGTGTCTAGATTCAGAGATCTGCATGGCACCTCTGTCATTTTTATAAGACTCTCTGACCTTGAGACATTTACTCTTTACCCCCAACCTCACTCCAAACTATTACAACCCTATTCTATTCTGATACAAAATTAAAATTTCTTCTTAAGACCTAAGGAAGATAGCAATCTTAATAAACAAATCTACTCTAAGATTTAATAAATAGTAGTTGTAAATCTCTCAGGTTTATTTGCAGGGTGTTAACACAAAGGAATTATTTAGTACACCCTTGACATTAGGGCAGCATAAATCCTGACTATTACAAGTCTCCCAAATCAGGATTATCACTATAGCAAATAGCATTATTCCCAAAATGGGATAAAATATTTCAGTTTGGACCATGAGTTCATAAAAAGAAAGTCATTTTGGGTTTCCCATAGACTTGTCTAGGTTATTTCTTTACGATCCCTTTATCAGAGTAGATTTTGCTTACATAGCTAAGGTTATATTTTAGATACTGATTTCTTTTTAAAATGTTTTTTAAAGATTTTATTTATTTATTTGAGAGAGTGAAAGCGATCACAGAGGGAGAGGGCTCACAGAGGCAGAGGGAGAAGCAGACTCGCCGCTGAGCGGAGAGCCCGATGTGGGGCTCGATCCCGGGACCCTGAGATCATGACCTGTGCCAAAGGCAGACACTTACCTGACTGAGCCACCCCGGCGCCCCTTTAGATACTGATTTCTAACCATCACTAACAAAATATTCAAAAGTTCTACATATCAAGAAGAGGCCATTTATAATTGATGTTTGCCACTAGATTATTTGTCAGACATCCCTAATATCAAAAATCACCCAAATCTTGTATCATTAGGTCATTTTACATTCACTTTAAAGATACAGAAAACTAGCCAGAAAATATTCAGTGGCCATTAAGTTGTTCTATGCAGCTCTACTCTGAAGTGCGTGTTTGGCAATTTTCCAAGTAGTGTTCCAATAGCATAAGGAAGTTAGTGACTATTGGCAGGTATTTTGCTAGTTACTTGAAGTGGTCATCAAACATAGAAAGAGATTCTGTTAAACTGGGTTTGAGTATTGTAACATAAGAAACACTCATCCTTGATCCATAATGAGGAGAAAGAAGTCAATCAATAAAAACAGATCAGAAATGTCAGAGAATTAGTAGATAAGGACATTAGAGCATGCACATAACTATATTTCATATACTCAAGAAGGTAGAGGTAAGAGTCAGCATTTTAAGTAGATATGAAAGATTTTTTTAGAAGACCAAATTGAATTTCTGAGATAAAAAAATTCAATGTTTGAGATTAAAAAAAATTAAACTGAATGAAATTAATAGCAGATTCTTCCTCCGGAGAACATGGACTAATTTAAAATCTTAAAAGCATCCAGAAGGAAAAAAAATGCATTATATACAGAGAAACAAAGATAAGAATGATGGTAGATTTCTCACCAAAAGCAATGCAAGTGGAACAACATCTTTAAAACATAAAAAGAAGAACTCTGTCAATCTAGAATTCTGTAACAAGGAAAAGTACCTTCTAAAACAAAGTCCTTCAGGAGGAAGGAAAATGATACTAAATGAAAAAAAATGGGTCTACATATGAAAATAAAAAACACAGAAAACAGTAAACATGTGGACAAATATATAGGGTAATTTAAAGAAAAGCAATTTTTTTTTCAGCCCTCTGCTAGTGAGATCTCACTTTTTGTAATATTGCAAAGTCCAAACTTAAGGTTTTCCCCTCTCCATCTCAATATAGGGGTTGGGCAAAAAGAAGTTTGTCTTGAGATGACTGTTTCTTTCATCTGAAATACAGCAACTAGGTCTCCCTGAATTGCCTGAACAGTGAGCCAGCTGATATCATCATCCTCCCCTTCTCTAGCCAAAGAAACTATACCTAAATTTCAATTCCCATGTTACCAGTGGCTTTCTTCCCCCTCGAGACAGGACTTCAACTTCCTCTGGAGTCCCCAAAGTACCGAGCTATTAAGCTGTAAGGTTTCAGCGGGCTTCTAAATCCAGACTTCCTGGTGACCCAGCAGTGTGTCTGCATGCTCAGCAAGAGTGATGCTCTCAAAATTGCCCTAAAAGAAGGCAGAGTGACAGGAAAATGGAGACCCTCCATGTTAACACATATCTATTGTTTCTATTAGTTCACCTAGGCGCTGGTGTTACCTCCCGGGGATAAAGAGAACACAGGTACCACATGCCTCTACCCTACTTACTGGTCCTTGATTGGTAGGCATCCTCTAGTAAAGTCACAGTAAACTGTGTGACATTGTGGAAGTCTTCCCAAGCAAACCCTGATACATGAAGAGTGGTGGTGACCACGATGGGTCTTAACTTGTACCATACCCACCACTTCTTTTATACCCAAGATGATTTACACCGATGACATAATCACCACTCATTTTAGGTCACCTGTGGCACAAAAAGGAGAGCTTCCTATGTGTTCTAACATCGATCTTTCAAAGTGTCAAGCTGGCAAAGTGTTCTTGACATATCTAAGAAATAAAGTCTAAAAAAGCATTTTATGCTATCCTAACATTATCATCATTATAAATTACAGGAATAATCTCTTAAGGATAGAATATCCTCAGCCTAACTGTACTGTACTTTCCTAGTGACAGGTTTAAAATGTGTGCATTCCCAGAAGGAAGCATTCCCAGAAGAAAGCCAATCACAGAAATAAAACAATGGGCAGGCTTGCTGAGTCATTGGATGAGTCAAAATAGGGGTTCTTAATTCAATTTCATAGACCTTATAGTTAGTGGAAATTTCTCTCTGATTCTGAAACTAGGTTGACTCTCAA